ATGTAAATTATGTTAGCTTTTTACGTTTATTTTTACCTGTACAGCACTTTGGCAACTTCGGTTATTTTAAATGTGCTCTATAAATAAAATTTGACGGCAAATGGCTGCTCTTTTCCAAACAAACGTGAGTTTGAGTCTCCCTGGCTGTTACTTTATCTACCCAGAGGCCTCTGTGTGGCTCCTCTTTGGGATGGAGAGGCGGTGGAAAAGGGGGGAGGGCAGCCAACCTGGCAACCGGCGGCCGTGACTCAAAGCTCAGACATGCAGCCGGCCGGGAGCAGCTCCAAATTTGGTCGCGGCTTTTTCGCTTTGAGTAATCAAACGAGAGAAAAAAGGGATCCCTGAACACCCGAACGGCCCCCGTTTAAAGCCGAAGCCCCTCAGGTCGGGTGATGTCACCGTTTCAGCGTCCAATCAGAGCAGCACACTCAGTAAACAAACAGAGATGTGCAGAGATGTGACGAGAGAAGACACAGAACTGCTAAAAAAAGTGCAGAAAAAGACCGGAAACGGTGCTGAAACTGACTCAAAATGATCAAAATGTGGAACACAAGAGAAGAAAACAAAGACGAAATGAGTTAAAAAATGAGAAATGAAGACAAAAAACTGAAAAGAATATTCCGAAACTGAACAGAAACTCCAATAATAAGATAGAAAAATCACCAAAATATTGAGCAAAATAGCAGAGAAAAGGACAAACTGACAAGAAAATGACTAAAGAAAACAGCAAAAGACCAGAAATGGTGCTGAAACTGACAAAAAATGACCAAAATGTGGAGAAAAAGAGCAGAAAAAGGGACAAAACTGCTTTAAAAAAGACAAAAAACTAACTGTATTCGAGTTCAGGGCTCAAACCATTATCATCTTTTAACTTTTTCTGGGAAGTAAAGATTAAAATGAGTGATAACAACAGAATTAACAACACGATCTGTTTCAAAAGCTACAAATCTGCCTGTAAAAGTTAAGAAAAAGCATTAAAAAATCAGATCAAACATCCTCACAGTGTAGTTTCTTCTGTTGACTTCTAGTTTATTAATGGGTCATTAACCCCCACAGTCCCATTTAATAAGCCAATAAACCGGAGGAAGAGGATAAAATCAATATTAAACGTTAAAAATGTGGATTTTCTGAGCCAGAAACCGTCCTGGAAGTCCACCAAATTCCCAAATTATTGATTAAATCCAGAAGGTTTGATATCAGAGGGAATCTGGAGCCTTTTCCTCTGGTCAGAGGCTCACCTAGAACAGGTAAAGTTTAAACTGAAAGGTAAAGTTTAAACGGAAAGGTAAAGTTTAAACGGAAAGGTAA